GTGTTAATTAGGGCTTAGATGGGCTGATTTCAGCAGATTACACTGACTGACTGCCATAGTTTCATTTTATTGTGCAGCAAGAAAGCAGTGCAAGATGTTCCAAGACATTAAGCTACCTTTTTAACAGACACCGCATTAGTAAGTGGCACAGACTACGGTACTACTGATGGCATGGAGTGATTCATCTGTCTTAGTTGAAGTTAGAGCACTCGAAGTGAGGCTGCAGACTGCTGGGAGTGACTTAAGAAATACCTGAGTGTATTACATATCTTAGAGACAGCATCAAGGACAAGTGAAAGAGGGATCTAATTACTGGCTGATTTCAGGGCAGTGGGCTAATGAGCTGCACAATGCTGTTGGGGTTCAGTGCAAGTTATTCCTGACTGCCTGCTGCTCTTAAAGTTACTCTGTGTTGGTTCGTGACAGAAAGAAAGTGTGTAATCATTCCCCACAAAGATCTGGCGTGCAAAGGAAGCTGCATAAAGTATGTAAAAGACGGTTGTTAAACATTCAGACAAGCATCACAATGAGCTCCTTCAGCGCTAAACAATTTGAACAATTTGTCGCCGTTTAAAAGCATGTACTCAGACTTTTAGGAGGATCTCCACTCTGGTCTGAGTCTTCAGCTCAGTGTGTCTAATCCTAACCAGAGGCTGATTGCAACCCATTTGTGAACCGCACCACCAGGAATCCACAAACCATAAGAAAAACCTAATTTTTCCAGCGTTGATACAATCTAACTTTCCAGATAAATATTAACAGCGTCATTTTTACCTGCAGGTCAAATATGAATCCCAGTAATCCGAGTTTCCTTCAGGTTACCATTTCCACTCTGCACAAGCAAACAGACTCGCTGAAGTGACTCACTTTCATGGACTCTAAAAGCAGTTCAAACACGACTTGGTGCAGTATACATGCTATTTAACGACATTACAGCAAATTCGCCTGTGCAAGGACTAACCGAACAAATGTAACCCACTCCTCGTTTGAATGAGAACCCTCAGCCTTGGCCTGCATAATCAGCAAAGCCACAAGCCACTTACATGGGAGTGTTCCCCAGGATGCCAGCGACTGCCAAAAAGTATCAACATGTGGCAGTTATATTTGGAAAGTTGAGCTATTCCCAGGGAGAAAGTCCAAAGAAAACAGTGAAATCAGGAAGTAATTCTTTCCACAGAATCTGCTGGAGACTCCTAGAGGCCCAGCAGAAAGCCTTAGCTGACCGCACAAAGCAACAAACGAACACCTTTAGCTCAGCAGATGAGTGTGGGGACGTCGTTTTTCACGATAAGCATTTTTTTGAATGGCTTCCTGCAATTTACTCTCGATATGAGATGCAAGTAAACAAATACAGTTGCCATAAGCGTAGGAAGCAACTTCAGTGTCTAATTAAATGTTGTAGAGCAAAAAAAGAGACTGCAGACTTGTGTCTACATGGAGAGAAATAGTGTTAGTAACAGGACACTAAAGATGAAGTGGCACATCAATGTAGAAACACCAACTTCACCGCGCACAGTAATCTTCCTGTTGATCAGGGCTGGAGCCAGGGGACAGGAAGTGTTGGGAGTAGAAGCGCAGGAAGTGCTGGATCAGGGTCGGCAGCCGACATCCTGGGAGGGTCAGTCGGAGGGAGGGCGTGCGTGGGGATTCCTCAGTAAGAATTCCACTTCCCTTTTTATATTTATTTCTGTATTTCATCTTGCGTGTGGTGAAACACTGATCCTCACCACAGCAACTGTAAGTTGTCCTCACAACAGCCTCAATTTCAGAAAAGGAAGCAGATATTTTTTCCTCGTCTCTTTTTCTTTTTTTGGTCATGACTGATTGTTTAAACTAATCTTGTCGTAATTAAGTGTCTGGCAGAAAGAGAAGCACTCAAATTTGCTTCCATGTTCCAAAAACAACTAATCTGCTTCATCTGTGCTCTTCACAGGACTCCGAACACAGTAAAAATGATCACCTCTGACCCGACTCTGCTGCGAAAACTGAACGAATTCATGTAGAGAAACAGTGGCTATAAACGAAAAGCATCACAAGCCTTTGACTACAACCTTAAATCATTACAGAGAGGTTAAGAAACATCCCCAGAAGCGTCAAAACCACAATAACATGAAGCAATTTTCTTTATCAGCGAGAGACGTAGCCAACGTTTTTGTACTCCCTCACACATTTTTAAAGAATGATTCATTACACGTTCTTGTTTTGATCTCCCCGCACTCAGAAGGATTTTCTGTGCCAAGGAATAACTCCAGGTTGTCCTAATTATTCACACATGGGACTGCACCAGCCTCGCCACACAGTTGCACCTCTCTGTTCGACTTTGAATGGAGGGACATGTGTGACATCAAACTGCTTGTGCACGTTAATCCCAACAGGAATGAAAGATTTTTAAAAAATGCAGCATCCACTCTGAAGATAAGAGTTTAACCACAACCTCCCATTTCAGTGTAAACACACTATACAAGACATACTTATAAGTACTAGTCAACAACTATAAGTCCACCTCTGAAACCTCCCAAACTGGACGCTGGTATGTAAGCTGATAATGAATGACACCATAAAAACACTGGTAACAGATTACTGGTTCATCAGTTTTGAAATGCTGGACCAAACTGACCAACCAGTCTGTCTCGTATGCAATAAAAACATTTTCTAACAATTAATTCCTTAAAAAAAACAACCCTTTCAGCTCTTCATTGATGTGACACCACACATGCACCTTGATAGCAGATGTAGCTATACGGGGCATCCCCATATCGTTCATTCATTCATTCATTTACCATTCCTGTGTCAGTGTTTTGAAGTTCATGCTGCAGTTTGCACAAACACTGAACAGAAACACTTGTAAAGTACACAAAGCACCCACTGAACAACCACAAACTGCAACACAAACAAGCCAACTATGAAGCCAAACTTAAACCGATGCGGTATGCGAGTCCATACCAAAATAATTACCCACACGCCCAATGGTCAAATTAAAAAGGTGACCTGTTACCTAATAGCCATCCTGTAACAAAGGGCTTTGCCTTGCAGCAGGCCCAACTCCTTTCATCAGTTCAGCTGCCATATCTTTACCGCCACACCTTCCCCTCCCACTCTCCTCAAGTCTTTCTCATTGTCCTATCATTAAAATAACTCCTATGCAAAAAGTGTGGCACCGTGTGCCATAAAGCAGCACGTGAAACGAGGCAAAAACTGTTGCCTAACTGTGCTGCTACTACGCGTTTTTCTCTCTCTCCCTTCCAGCCACTACCTTTTCTGCATGTGAAGCCATAAAACTCGGATGTGGGCACAGTTAAGAGACAGGCAGGTGACAGACCCGCCAATTACTCAATATATGAGTCACATCTGACACATTGAAGGCAATGGTTGAAGACGCTCAATTTGTGGAACTTTAGCAATGAGTAATTTCAGCCCAAGCTGAGCAAATAACCCAAACTTTACAGTTTAATGTAAAGAGGTGTGGAAAACAGCTTTCACAACTTTCAGTTGTTTCATTGTTCAACTTCACCAATTTACAGTTTGATTATAAAAAACTTAAAGGTGATCTCAACTGTTACTGTTGATTAATCAATGAAGCAGCTGATCTTTTACTTCTGGATGAAAACAGCAACATTTTTAGAGCTACTCCTTTGTGTCCCTAATAACAGAGGAGGCACTCTTTAACTGTGCCCTGTATTTTCCGATCATTTGTGGAGGCCCTTGGGTCAGCCCTTCAACCAGACAGCTGCCGAGGGAAAACAGCCACGCTTGCCGAAGTGCCTTTGAGCAAATCAGAGCGTTAAAAAGTGAATTCCATTGAAATTCCATCAAAACATTGTCCCATTAACCTGCAAACCTAATAGAATCTGACTGAAAATATAGTCACAATTATAACACAATTAACACAAGAATTATTTGACTTTAAAAGAAATAAACTGGTCAGGCTAATAGATTCGCCACAATTTGCACAACAATCACTTCAACGCTGTCTACGTGGTCTAATCACTGTAGTTTCACAGCGGCCTTCAAGTCACACGGAGCATGCGCGAAGAGCTGTAGGAATCCAAACTTTTTTTCGTTGCAGACCAACGCCTTGCATTGTGGCACATTCACGCCCGCCACCAGTGAATCAATGACATGAGACTAATAAGACTTTCCAGAGCCCGAGAGGCGAATACGAACAATTCAATCCGTGTTTAATGATTATAATACATGTAAAATGGCGACAATAGAAAAAGCCACGACAATAGAGGAGTTGATTGTCTCACTTTTTCCCGGAGCTCCCGTTCACTGTCCAGCTCTCTCTGTAGGACCTGAGCCCGATCTTCTGCGTCGTCGGCTTGCTGCTGCAAACACTGAATCTTTCTCTTCACAGCATCCAGAGAGTTCACACCTGCCATCGTTTACTGTTTCCTTACTTAACTTAAGACTAAACGTAAAAAAAAATAAAACACAGCTAAGACTATGTATATGTTGTGCAAAAACGAGGCCACTGATTCCTGCTTATTTGGTCTATTCAGAGTAGCTGAGTAACAGAAAAATAAGACTTTTGTTCGTTGATTTAAAAAAAAAGAAAAAGAAAAACGAGAAAAATAGGCGTGAGTCCGGAGATAAAGTATGAGGAATGTAAAGGAGTCACTCAAGTGCAGCAAAAAGTTATATAACTAGGAAGCGTGAGTGTCCAGGTGTTCCCCGAGTGTTTCTTCTGGATTGTAGGAATGAAAAGTTCATGAGCGGCGCAGAAAGTGGTCCTCGGGAATGTAGGTAGCAGTTTTGGTCCGGACTCAGCTTCAGTTAGAGTTTGAGGAGCACACAGGATAAGCTGCGCGGCGAGAAGAGCTGAGAGCGCCAGACTGTGTGGCGGAGGAGGAGAGAGTGAGTGATTGGGTCGATGACGCCAAAGAGGGCGGGGCTTGAGAGTGAGCGAGCGTGTGTAAAAAGCTGATCCCTGTGACTGATGTGAGCGCTGCTGCGAGACTTTGAAAAGAAAAAGGAGAGCCAGGATGAATTACTTTCAGTCATTGTGAAGGCGCAGTGTCCATTGTTTAGTTGTCTCACACAAACTTGATGTGACAGTTAAATTGAGTTTGTACTGCCTCCAGTGAAGTGTGAATAATTTGAGTATTTCCTCTTTTAAAAACCCCCCACACAATTATATTTCATCCTGTCATCGTGGACTACTGGTTAAAGTGCCGCTCTGAATATACTGTTCTAACTTCATGATGGAAATCCAAATCTAAGCAGCAGCGATTAATGTGTTTTGGATGGCAACAGGTTATTTAGCTGTTGCTCCATGCCACAGGGGTCAAAAAACTGGCCTGCATCAAGCACAGAAAACAGCTAAGGAGAATGATTAAAACGAGTGAGGAAGAAACACTTGTCAGTGATGCTCAATGGAGAAAAAAAAGGCTTGTGTTTGCTATGGAGCATAAAGATAGGACAAAGGCCACGTGGTCTGATGAGTCCAGATTTGTCTTCTTCCAGAATGATCAGTGGATCAGGCAGATAAAGTGATGCATCCACATGCATCTACTGTACAAGCCTGTGGGGGCAACACTAATGATCCGAGGCAGCTTTACCTGACCGGATCCAGGTTCAGTTAACATGCCCCCCGAAAAACTGACGTCACCTGACTACCTGACTACACTGAATGACCCGGACTTTCTATCAATTGATTTTTTTTCTTCTCTGATGGCACAGGCATATTTCAAAATAGCATGCTAGGGTTAGCTGGGCTCAGACTGTGCAAGATTTTTATCCTTATTATTCTTGACATGAATGTAGAGCAGGCGTAGGCAACTCCAGGCCTCGAGTGCTGGTGTCCTGCAAGTTTTAGATATCATCCTGGGTCAGCACACCTGAATCACATGATTAGTTCATTACCAGGTCTCTGGAGGACTTCATGAGATGTTGAGGAGGTAATTTAGCAATTTGAATCAGCTGTGTTGGATCAAGGACACATCTAAAACCTGCAGGACACCGGCACTCGAGGCCTGGAGTTGCCGACCCTGATGTAGAGCAAGGGGCAACCTCTAGAGGTGAAAAGTGAAGCTAGCAGAAAAGTACCAAAAACTGCAATACCTTAAACGGCCACTTGAGGCTTGCTAAAAGCAGGTAAATTTAATTGGCTCAAATGTTCAAATACTAAACTTCACTGCAGAAATAAGCAAGTTTAAAGCCAGATACTAAAGTGGGTTTTTTTGTTTGTTTTTTCCTTTTGTGACCCATTTTAATTAACTAAAGTGATGCACAACTAGGCCCATGGTCACACTGAGCAAACATGTGCCAGCTAGGTTGCTATACTATCTGCTAAATCCGATCTTACCTAATATGTGGAGGCCTCTGAAATAGACCTCTCGGCCATATTTGAGATGTTGGT